TCTGGGCAACTAAACACTGGTCTATCCTGGCACAAGGAATATGCCTGGCTTAGGGACACAGGGCACTCTGTGCCTTTTAGACAGAGTATGCAATTGTAGTTTCCATCCAGCAGGAAAAACGTACCTATCTTTACAAAAAAAAAAAAAAAGACTCTATCTTTACAAAAAAAGGGCATAGGCCTGGGAGGTCGAGGCTACAGTAAGCCATGCTCACACTACTGCACTCCAGCCCAGGTGACAGAGTGAGATGCTGTCTCAAAAACAGAGCAAATAATGCAGCACTAAAGAAACATTCTTAATTTGATTTGTTACACCTGTATGTGTAATTCTATAAAACTGAGGCCTCAAAAGCAAAGGTAAGAAACAACATTCAAAAGCATTTTCTAAACACTTGGATACAGAGTTCTTTTTCTGAGAAAAGCTCCATTCCCTGAAAGACAACAGCAAATAGCACATCCCTCAAGAAACACACTTAGATGTCTGCTTTAAACACATATCTGAAAACCTGTCAATGAGGCCTAAAAACCAAGAACAACAAAAATTCTTTAAGAACATGTGTACCATATATGGTAGGACTTTTTCACAATGGGTTTGCCAACAGAACATAGGTGTCATGAAAACTACCCCTAAAAGCCAAAATGGGAAAGGAAAGGACTCATATCAACACTGTCATCAATGTCCATGTAGATCTGGGAATTCCACCATGCCTGGCCATCTGATCTACACTGGTGGTGGCCTGGACAAAAGAATCACTGAAAATGTGAGGAGGAGGCTGCTCAGTTGGGAACAGACTCTTCAGTGTGCCTGTGTCTTGGATAAACTGAAAGCTGAGTGTGAATGTGGTACCACCTTGATGTCTCCCTTTAGAAATTTGAGACCAGCAAGTACTAGTGACTATCGTTGATGCTTCAGGCCATAGAGACTGTATCAGCAACATGAATATAGGCTCATTTCAGACTGGCTGCGCTATTCTGATTGTTGCTGCGAATTTGAATCTGGTATCTCCAAGAATGGGCAGACCTATGAGCCCGAACTTCTGGCTCACACGCTGGGTGTGAAACAACTAATTGTTGTGTCAACAAAATGGATTCCATGGAGCCACTCTCCAGCCAGAAGAGACATGAAGAAACTGTGAAGGAAGTCAGCACCTACACTGAGAAAACTGCATACAACCCTGGCACGTAGCATTTGTGGTAGCTTCTGTTTGAAATGGCAACAGCATGCTGGAGCCAGGAGCTCATAGGCCTTGGTTCCAGGATGGAAAGTCACCCTTAGAGATGGCAATGCCAGGGCAAACATGCTGCTGGGAGCTCTGGACGTCTTCCTACCACCAACTGGTCAGACTGACAAGCTCGTCTACAGGATAGCTACAAAATTGGTGGTATTGGTTCTCCCCTGTGGGCTGAGTGAAGATAAGCATGACACCACATGCAGCCCATCCACACTCTGTTCTAGGAGCTTTAGGGTCATTACTAATGGGCAGAGAAATTCTACACCTACAAATCCACAAAATATAAAACACACTGGTAGAGCAAACACACAAATAAGAAAAAGAAAAGACTCAAATGTTACCACTACAGAAACCCACCAAACCACAATGGTAAGCAAAAAGAGAGAAAGAAAAGAACAAGGGATAGAGAAAATAACCAATTAATACATTGAAAGAAATAAGCCCTCACATATCAATAATAACTTTGTAAATGAATTAAACTTTCCAGTTAAAACATATAGGCTGGCTGAATGGATTTCCATTTTCATTTAGATTTTGGTCTTTTAAAATATTCATTATATTTTATATTCATTCATTCTTCACAGCTTAAGACTGTATTTGAAAAGATTTGTTTACTTTAATCTAGGATATTCAGTTGTTTTGTAATAAGATGGTGGTTCAAGTTATTAGTCTGCCCTTTTGCTAGAAACAGAAGTCTTGAAGGCATTACTCTTTCTATAAAATTGTTAATGAAATTTTGGAGCACCTTCCATAAATTTTTATTTAAATGTACTTAGGATGTGGTGCCCATTGTCCAGCTTGCGATGCCACATTTTTTTGTGAGAAGGAGATTTCTCTGAATTCTTTAAATCTGAAGCAATATGAGTTCCTAAACAGGTAATATGAAATATTATTGTGGATGATGTCCTTAATGATAAATTTAAGGCACAGGAGAAACGTTATCTGTATAGTTGACCTTGGTAAAAGACTAGGGCACAACTTTCAACTTATTAACAATGTCTCTGAGGCAGTTAAGAATTTTGAGCATCTTAATTAACGAAACATAAAACTTAAATTAACCTGAAAATTCAATGTAGAGTGTTTGCCTTTGTCTGCTGTTTGAACCTCACTTTTTAAAGCCAGGCTGCCATCAGAAACAAAATAAAGTTAAAGCTCTTAATTAAAACCAGGAATGAGGACATGTTGGCTGCTCATTGGAGGAAAAACTATGTTCTTAAATCCAGATAGGCTGACAGTCAAGATGAAAAGCTAGATTATATACTCATTAGGATGAAAAAAATAATCACCTCAGTGGCCCAAAGACAAGACCTGAATTTTCTGTTAGAGGAAACTGGATCTATGCATCTGCTGTGTTGAGACCTCATAGTTCTATATTATAGAAATGGGCACGTTTGGTTTTCTGGAAGTGTTGCAAGTATAAGTTATTTGTATTTGTTTCTCTGTTTGCCTAGAATTATAGGTGTCCACTGAGGCAGTCCATATTTGATGGATGATTGAGTCCTGATTTCTGAGAGTCGGCTGACTCTAGTGTTACTGATCTTATGGAAAAGTCAATCCAGTGAGAAGGTTTTATGCAGAAGTTTCAAATACACATAGATCATAATTTAAATACGTCTCCGTTTTGGTTTTATTTTTCTTTTCAGCCAGTCCTGAGGCATAAGAAACATTTCAATTCACTGCACATTCCAAAAGCCTTGCCATTTAAGAACAAGCTGAAGACCCAAGCAAAGGCAGGCTAGGTGCTGAAGGAGAGGCAGAGACCAGATATCATATGCAGGCCTTGTGAAAGAAAGGTCCTATCACCAATTGACTGCCTGTTTAGATAGGAAAATAACACTCTTGGCAGCATACTTTGCGTTTCTACCGCAACTCAGTTTTGATCAGGAGGGGATATGGCCAGAGTTATTCACGGCACTAGAACTAGAAGTGAGAGGCAGGGCTGGGGTCTATTTCCCATCCTTTGCTTGGCCCTGCTCTGCCCTGTGCATTTTTAATGTGGAGTCATAGGCATGGCTGGTTAGTTGAGTTAATAATAATAGTAATAAGGAGTTAATATTCATTTGGATCCTGGGTTGCCTCTAGCTTGGATTCCATCAGCCGTGGTGCCTAGGATGGGACAGTGCGGCGGCTGTGAGAGTATTCTGATGCTTGCCGGGTTTTGTTCCTGTCAGATCCTTGAACTCCTGGATGCTCTGAGTACAATGCACAGTCAGAGGGTGAAGAAGGCCAAGAAGCAGTGGCTCCTGCAAAATAAAGAGCACTTCAAAGCACTCCTCAAGCAGGAGGAGAAGCTGAAGCAGCAGGAGGACCTCAGAAAAAGCTCTTCTGAATTCTGGGTCAAAGGGAAAGACGAAGCCAGATATCCGGTCGAAGAGGGCTGAGGAGCAATTGCAGTGAGCCTTTGTGATGGGAGGGCTGGCCATAGATCTGCAGAAATGGATGATTTCAAACATGATGGTGCTTGTGAATAACCAATCAGGGAGCGAGAGCCCAAGCAATGTCCTTGTTGGACACGTTGCACATACTGTGTCTGTTTGAGAAGGAACAAAACCTGCACTGGCAGGATCTGGGTTCATTTTTAGCATCTGGATCTGTCAAGATTTAAAGTAATGTAAACTATGGTTATGTGGATCCTCTTACTCTTTCTGCCTGCCTTAGTTTAATTATTTTGTGCTACAAAAATATAATTAAAACATTTTCCTGTTAGTTTTGGCTTAGTAGTTTTCATCAGGGGTAAATGCCTGACAGTGGACTGTGGATAATTGTTTATTTCACTACATTTCTGATGAGTCTTCCAGAAAAAAAAGAAGTGTTCACTTGAACACTTAGCTATCATGTAAATGTTCAGGGAAGGGTGATGTTTTTGTTTTTGTTGTATCTGTTGTGTTGTATTCTTTGATCAATGGTTTTAATAGACATTTTATATTTTGTTTCATGTATTTTATATTTTACATAATACTTTAGCAGCCAGGTGACAGCATATATTATTGAAAGCTTTAGACCAGGAGATCACTGTCTCAGGTGAAGAGACCAAGGAAATAGAATATATTGTGAAGTAGGTTTTCTGTATTATGCTCATGCATTATACCTGCCTAGCTACCTTGCTGATATAGTTTAATTCTGGGTCTTCACCCAAATCTCATGTAGAATTGTAATCCCCATTGATGGAGGAGGGGCCCGGTGGCAGGTGATTGGATCATGGGAGTGGTTTCTAATAGTTTAGCACCATCCCTCTAGTGCTGCTTTGTGAAAGAGTTCTCATGAGATATGGTTGTTTTAAAAATGTGTGGCACCTTCCATTTTGCTGTCTTTCTCCTGCTCTGGATGTGTGAAGATGTGCATTGTTTCACCTTCGCCTTCTGCCATGATTGTAAGTTTCCTGCGGCCTCCCCAGTCATGTGGAACTGTGAGTCAATTAAACCTTTTTTCTTCATAAATTACCCAGTCTCAGGTAGTTCTTTATAGCAATGCGAGAACAGATTAATACAATTGCCTTTTTCAAATTGAACATTTCATTGATTTAATCTAGTATTATGAATATATTTTGTGATAATATGTTGGTATAATTACATAAGGTATAATCCTCTGTGATGTAATAATAGATTCACAACTAGTTGCACACTTTGCCCAATTTCTCTCAATAGTACAGTTTTGCAAATATCACAATCAAGATATTGACAATGATACAGTCTACTGATTTTATTCAGATTTCCCCAGCTTTACTTATACTCCTATATGTGTGTATGTGTGCATGCATGTGTGTGTGTGTGAAAATATGGAACACTTAGCAAATCTTTGTGTGATCTTTGCACAGGGCCCACACTGATCTCTGAGTGGTTTCAATTTTAGTATGTATGCTGCTGATGGGAGTACCTTGTTGCCTTTACCACATCATATGGGCCAAAGAAAATTCACTTGGGCCAACCAGGAGTTTGCTGGCAGGGTTGTGAGCCGCTGGCCTAGTCTGGGAGGCTTTCTAAAAGCCTAAAGCTGTCAGCAGACAGATGCAGCCTTGTGTCTACATCAGAAGGGTTGGGGATGTGAGGATCTGGCCAGGGCCAGGTCTACCTGGGAATCGACAGTTGGAACATTCCCAGACCTTTCTGAGCAACTCTGGATATAAATTTTCCTCTATTCCTCAGGAGCAATTAAGAATTCCAGCATCAAGTATGGTGATAAGTCTGGGGACTGATACATAGCATACCCATAAAAAGTATTAAATAATTTAAAGCTAATATCTGTTGTGTTATATAGCATAATTGATACATTTTAAAATATGAGACTATAGTTCAACTAAAATAAACAAGGCACTCTAAGTCTTACCATGCTTTGCAGTTATGTAGTTTACAAGGTCTTTCCGAGTAGATGAAATCTAACTTTAAAAGAGTCTTAGGAACTAAGGAAATGTTTCCAGATGACAACTGGAATCAACAAAAGAAAAAAGATGTCTAATACAAGTAAATGTTTTCAAAGAGTAAGCTTGCAAATACTAAAGTATATATAATTGTATAGTTTCATATTTTAGCCAAAGGAGTGAAATCCTTTAGCAAAGTGAGAAATTAAAGAATGTTTAAGCACAGTAGCAGATAATTATGTTTTCTAAAGACAATATATGTACGTGTAAGTGATATTTGCTAATATTAAAAATCTTGGTTTATCATATTGGAGAGCAAGGGAAATGAAAAGTTTGTACATCAAAATTATTTCAAACTAAAATTGAACCAGGTGCCGTGACTGTAATCCCAGCATTTGGGGATGCTGAGGCAGGTGGATCGCTTGACCCTAGGAGTTTGAGATCAGCCTGGGCAACATGGCAAAACCCTGTCTCTACAAAAAATACAAAAATTAACTAGGCATGGTGTTGTGCACCTGTAGTCACAGCTACATGAGAGGCTGAGGTAGGAGGATCACTTGAGCCCAGGAGGTCAAGACTGAAGTGAGCTGTGATAGCACCACTGCACTACAGCCTGGGCAACAGAGTGAGATTCTGTCTAAAAGAAATTTTTTGAAAACCTACTAAAATTAAGGAATCTCTATTGTCTGAAAGAAACAATAAATAGCATCTTCTATGTAGAATTTTTACTGGTGAAAGTCCCAGCTAGCCAGGTTAGTAAAATGCAGTCGTGTATCACTTAAGGATGGGGATTTATTCTGAGAAATGCATTCTTTGGCAGTTTTGTCATTGTCTGAATGTCATAGAGTGTACTGACACGAACCTAGGAAGTACAGCTGACTACACATCTGGGCAATATGGTATAGCCTATTGCACCTAGGCTATAAGCCAGAACAGCATGTGACCATACTGAATACTGTAGTCAATTGTGACATAGCGGGTATTTGTATATCTAAACGTAGAAAAGATACAGCAGAAATACAATATTATCTTATCGAACCATCATTATATATATTGTCTGTCATTGGTTGTATGGCACATGGCTGTATGTGCACGCATAGTTTTTGTGACTGTGAAGTTTGTATTCGTCTCATTGGAAGATAGTATATCAAAGTGAGGATCAGACTGGGAGAGTTCGTAAATTATTTTCAGTGCTAATTGCTTATTTATGTGATATTGTCAGCATGTATATTGCAAAAGCAATTCTACTAGATTGTGAGTTCCATGAGAGCTAAGAGCAGGAACTGCATTGTTTACCTGGTTGACACTTGAAGTAGAGCCACTGAATATAAAATAAGTGCTTAATAAACATTTGCTTGGAAGGAAGAAGAGAAGGCATTCCTGGCGTTCACCCTCTAAAATATTTTAACAACTTTATGGAAATCTTTCTAAAATGCATTAAATTTTGTAAATTGTAAAAAATATTCTCTATGTTGTAAAGTAACAGATTTGACAATATTGGGAATTGAGATAACCATTCATTTTTATACCTTTCTGTCTTGTTACTATGCACAGGAAGCCAGTGGTTCTGAGTATTTCCTTAAAACTAATATTGGCATATAGTATACACACCATTCCATGCCATTAAATATTCTATTTAACAACAGACATATTCAGGCATATTTAGTTTCCTATTTGTGGATGTACTAGATTGTTTCTTTTGTAAAAGAACACATAACTGCTTTTATTTAAGTATTACCTTTTGGTGACGTGCTCACCATTTCAGAAATAAATGTTTCAGCACAGAAGAAAGCCATGTAGTCTGATTTAGCTCTCTGGAGGCTTCAGAGCTTTCTTAGGTGATGGGAAGAGAGCATTTACTTAGTTGCTCTTGACACTGATTCCTCTTATCTAGTATTTTGCCTGACTCAGATATTTTTTGAAACCATTATTGAGAGATTACCTTAACTAAATTGAGTTTCATTTGGATCTCTCAGTTTTATGTAGTTTATTTCTTGGTTTTAAAGTCATGTACATTTTTGTAATCCTTAAGCTAATAAGACAAAATGCTGACATGCTGGACATTTAAATACCAATGGTATTCTATTATGAGACTGTTAGCATTTGATATTTTTGGAATCTTACTTTATGACTGAAAATTAGGCATATTTTGGGAGGCCAAGGTAGGAGGATCACTGGGCAACATAGTAGGACTCCATCTCTATAACAAATAAAAAATTAGCTGGACATGGTGGCATGTGCCTGTGGTCCCAGCTTCTCAGGGGACTGGGGTGGGAGGATCCCTTGAACCAGGGAGGTCGAGGCATGAAATAAGTCATGATTATGCTACTGCACTCCAGCCTGGGAAACAGAGACAGTGTCTCAGAAAAAAAAAAAAAAAGATTATGTAAACTGGTTTGCTGGACGTTTGGAGGAATATTGTAAATCTTTAGGCCAAGTTAGGACATTCTAAAGATTGCCACTGGTGTGTAGAGAGAGAAGGGCGAATTATACATTTGGACCAGTTGGGCAGTAAGTTTTGGAGGAGTTCTGTTTTTGATTTTTTTTGGTATTGTGATAAAATATGCATAACAAAACTTATCATTTTAACCGTCTGTGGTTGTCAATTCAGTGGCACTAATTACATTCACAATGTTGTGCAGCCCTCTCTAGAGCTTTTTGATCTTCCCAGATTGAAACTCTGTCCCCATTAAACAATAGCTTCTCATTCCCTCATTCTCCCAGCCCATGGCAACCACCATTCTGTTTTCTGTCTCTGAATTTGACTACTTTAGATACTTTGTATAAATGGAATCATACAATATTTGTCTTTTTATGTCTCATTTATTTTACTTAGCATAATGTCTTCAGGATTCATCCACATTGTAGCATGCATCAGAATTTCCTTCCTTTGTAAGGCTGAGTGATATTCCAGTGAATGTCTTTACCACATTTTGCTTATTCATTCATTCACTGATGGACGTTTGGGCTGTTGTGAATAATGCTGCTATGCACATTGGTGTGTAAATATCTGTTTGAGTCCCTGCTTCAATTCTTTCATTCATATACCTAGAAGTGACATTGCTGGACCAAATGTAATTCTATGTTTAATTTTTTGAGGAACTGCCATACTGATTTCACAGCAGGTACACCGTCTTACATTATGGCAATATTTACAAGGGTTCTAATTTCTCCACAGCCTGGAAAACCATTGTCTGCCTTCATGTCTTCCTTCCTTTCTTTTTTCTTTCTTTCTTTCCTTTCTCTTTCTCTCCTTCCTTCTTTCTTCTCTCTCTCCTTCCTTCCCTCCCTCCTTCTCCTTTCTCTCTCTTTTTCCTCCTCCCTCCTCTCTTCCTCTCCCTCTCTTTTCCCCTTGCCCTGCCCCCTTCCTTCTTTCCTTCCTTTTATTAGATAAGCAATCATCTAGGCTGGAGTACAGTGGTATGATCATGGCTCAGTGCAGCCTTGACCTCCCAGGCTCCAGTGATCCTCCTGCCCCAGCCACCTAAATAGCTCGGGTTACAGGCACACACTATCACATCTGGCTAATTTTTTGAAATTTTTGTAGAAATGGAGTCTCCCTATGTTGTTCAGGATGGTCTTCAACTCCTGGGCTCAGGCAATCCTCCCACCTCAGCCTCCAAAAGTGCTGGGATTACAGGCAAGAGCCACCACATTCAGCCTTTTAAATTTTTTTAAATCTAAGTAACAGGTATCCTAGTGGGTGTGAAGTTGCATGTCATTGTGATTGGCATTTTCTGAATGACTAGTGATGCTGAGTATCTTTTTATGCATGTATTGGCCACCTATAGCCCGTCTTTGGAGAAATGTCTATTGAAGTCCTTTGCCCATTTTTGAACCAGGTTGTTGTTTTTTGTTGCCAAGTTGTAGAAGTTCTTTGTATCTTCTGGATATTAATCTCTTTTCAGATGAACAATTCACAAATATTTTCTCCATTCTGTAGGATGTCCTTCCACTCTCTTGATAGTGGCCTTTGATGCACAAAAGTTTTTAATTTTGATGAAGTCCAATTTATTTTTTTTGTGCTGCCTGTGCTTTTGGTATCAGATCAAGAAATTATTGTGAAATTATTGTTTACTCTCTAAAAAATGTGCTATTGATGTGATTATTTGGCTGATGTCTGTCTCTGTTGATTGACTGTACTTCTTAAGGGCAGCTCTTTTAAATATGCAAATTTGGTGCCATTTTCCCAAACTCCCCCAGTGACTTCCCTTTGTTTAAAGGCCAAAGCCCTTAGCTTGGCTTTAGTGCCTGCTCTCACCCTCTTCCCTTGTTTTGTGCCTCTCTTCTGCTTTCTTGAGGTCTGGCCACCTTGGCCCTTTATCCCTGAAGATAATTTGCCTCAGGGCCTTAGCACATGCTGTTCCCTCTGCCTGAAATGTTTTAACTCGCATATTCCCTCCCTGGCCTCCACCTGGTGCCACTGCTCTTTCTTCTGACTGTGGTCCTTAGACCACTTGTTAAGGCAGCCTCCACCCCACAGACTGGCCTAGGGTGTCTTATGCACCCTCTCCTAACTCCCTTGAGTTAACTCCTCCAAACCTTCTCTACTAAACCACTGGTTGTCAATGATGCTGTTCAGGGAGCCCTGGAATTTTCATGACCCTTTTAAGGATGTCATGAAGTCAAGTCTGTTTCATGACAATGTAGAGATATTAATTGCCTCTTTCACTGTCACTCATTCTTGAGTGCACGGCCAAGCTCCCAGAGGTGATGTGCTGTGTGGGAGTGCAGCAACCTGACTGCAGACATAGGGATCCAGCTTGTATTGTCAGACACAACAGTCTCGCAAAACTGTGAAACAATGTCACTTTTTTTAGAAATTATTTTGCTTTGGAAAACTTTTTTTTTTTTTTTTTTTTTTTGAGATGAAGTCTGTCTCTGTTGCTCAGGCTGCATGAAGTGTAATAGTGCAATCTTGGCTCACTGCAACCTCCATCTCCTGGGTCCAAACTCTTCTCCTGACTCAGCCTTCTAAGTAGCTGGGACAACAGGTGCGTGCCATAAGGTCTGGCTAATTTTTGTAGTTTTAGTAGAAACGAGGTTTCACCATATTGGCCAGGCTGGTCTCGAATTCTTGACCTTGTGATCCACCCATCTTGGCCTCTCAAAGTGCTGGGATTACAGGTGTAAGCCACCACACCTGGCCTGAATACTGGATAATGATTTTTTTTTTTTCCAGAAATATGCTATTGATGTTGCTATGTAATGGGCTGGTTTCTGTTATTTTAAAACAAATTAATACATGTCTTAAATGTTTCTTAGCTTCAGTTTTTGTTGTTGTTGTTGTTAGTCATGGTTCCTTTTAGTCTCTTCTCCTTCAGCTTTATCAGGTTTACAGCATAAACCAGAGATAAAATTCTAAGTCCCTGACCTACTGAATGCCCATCCTCTCAGCAAAGGGGATGCAAAGAAACCAGAAAACCTAGTTCAGGCCATGACTGGAAGAGGGAATCACCATACCTGGTTACACACTCCTCCCTTTGGAGTTCAGGCACAACTGACCAGCATTAACATTAAAACAGAGACCCTAAGACTGTCAGAAGAGACTCTGTAGCAATAAAATGTTGGAATTCACTCGGGGTGGTTGGTAAAATATTATGGAAAATATTAAAGATATATTAGGAAAAGTTATAGATAAGTCTCAAAACTTTCGGAAGGCTGAAAGGTTTTATTGGGGCTGGCTGAAGGCAGCCGGCAGGTCCATTAAGTCAGAGAGAGAGAGGTGATCAAAGGCCTTCCCACTTAAGTCTGTTTACCCCACATCCATTTGTCTCCTGTCTGTTTACTCATGCAAATTTTGTGCTGGGTGGCCTTTCCCGAGAAGATCAAAGGGGAATTACCTGTTAATAGGATTTACTCTGGGTCCTGGAACCTAAAGCTTTTACCAGTCTTAAAACCATTCTCTTAACCATGTTAATTATCCATAAGCGTGTTGACTTAGAACCTCTATTACGAACAAATGTGAGGACAGACAGAGGGTCTTGGTCGATTGGTTGCATTTCGCCTTCTGAAAGCAGCTCACGGCCATCCCTAGCCCACTTGAAACACTGTAATGGTGTGAGGGTGCATTCATTCATCCGTCATTGAGTCAGGGTCTGCAGGTCAGACTTCTGCAGATGGTAAGTGATGTCTCAATAAAATACTAAACTTAAAACTGACTCTAGCATAGCATCACCATATTTGAGGAGAAAATCAAAGTATTTTACCCTCAAATATATGTATTGGAAACATTTTGAAATGGCCCTGCAAATCTGTCTCTTGTGGGGAAAATGTGGAAGTGACGTCCTCAATAGGGGCTCAGGATTTAGCAAAGTAAAATAATAATAATAATAATAATAAATACATGTACTATCTGTCCACTGCCACTACTGAAGGAATCTGTTATTTCACACCCACCAGTAAAATTTTTGTTTCAGGTTATTAAGCAAAGTATTTTATTAGATGATCCACAAGGAGCATAGTTATAGTAAATAGTGACACAATTTTAGATTATTACTACTACTAAACCTTGTTTTAAAGATAATGCATAATAATTCCACACAACTGTCACAAAGCGCATCTTTAATGAAGGTGCATTAGATAACTCTCCTTCTTGCCTTATTATAGTTTTGTGTATAAAAGGGGCACATATGAATATGATGTCTACAATGATGCTTGCAATGTTGCTCTGCAGGAAAGGGGACTCCCAGTCAGCTTCCATCTTCAGGTGATGGGAAAGTCACAGGGTTTCCTCTGTGTCCCTGGGCTTCACACACTGCTCACACAGAGCTGTAAAAGCACAGCTCATCCTAAGTAGGACCGAATAGAATTAATCCTTTAACTTTTTAAATTAGAAACTCAAAGAGCTCTCAGTGCTTACCTGAGACTCTATGTTATACATCAAACATAATTATTTCATCAGTACAAGAAATTTGATTTGATTTGATTTGAATGGAAGGTTTTAAAAATGATTTTTTGAAGAAAAATTTATTTTATTACCAATATGAAATGACAGGCTATTCAAAATGAAAATGTGGCATATTTTCACAGTATAAGGAAGATGAAAACAATATCCACTGTTTAAATGAGAGGAGGGCATGTAACAAGCATGATGTAACCACCTTTTGCTAGTGCCTTCTCGTTTTGTAGTATTCGTATATGTTCTCCAGGTAAGTGTTCTTTCTGTTCTTCCCCCACTGACATCTTTGCACATTTACATAAAAATTGCCATGGCCCATGGGGAAAGTGGTGATGGCAGTGTCAACAAGAATAATTCAAACTCAGGTGTTCAGGGGTTCAGGACACCTGCCACTTCTGGCTGGCACGTCTTCTGGGCTTTTCTGCAGGACCAGATGGGCAGGGCTGGTCCCCTTACCACACTTTGACGTTTAGCCCATTGTGTGGATGCAGTTTTGGTTGTGGAAGATGCCACAGGCTCCTTCCTCTTTTCCAGAGAGAGAGAGAGAGAGAGAGAGACAGACAGACACAGTGAGATGGCTGCCTGTCCCCTTGAAAGGAAGCCAGCAGAATGATGACAGCAGTGGCCCATCTAGAGTGGCTGCTGCAATTATGCCAGCTGTAGCAGGGGAGACATGGCTAGTGCTGCACATTCCATGGAGCTGATGGGAGCCCTGCTCCCTTCCGAGTTGGTTGAGTGTGAGCCCTGTGTTCTTGGGTGCAGCTGCAGCCGCCCAGCAATGGCTGCAGACCTGGGCATCCCTATGCTCTCAGGGGACTGGGAAGCTCCTCTGTCCCCACAGGCTCAGAAGTTCCTGCTCCTACTGCCTGGCTTCTCACTGCCAGCACTTACTCTGATTTTAGAGCAAAGTCGTGGCCAAGCCTGTGTGCTGTCATGACCTGGCTAGGTATTCGTGTGCTTGGGTTGGTGCTGACATACCAGCCCCCTGCTGCCTTAGCCCTCTCCAGACTTTGGGTGCCAATGAGCATGGGAGGGAAGCTGAGGGGGGCTGAGGGCAGCTCAGTGCAGGCCTGCAGGTGCCTCTTGGCATGAACACCCTGGGTGTCATGAATGGTGGCAGGAGGCAGACAGACTCCTGGATGGAAAGGGGCAGGTCCCTGGTGAAACCCCACCTTCAAGCCAGGGATGGCCTAAAGCCTGGGGCCTGGGCTGCCAGTTCTGTGGACTGGAGTGGCAACATATGGTGCTTTTTCTGGGCCTGCCCATGGCCACCCATGGACCAATTGGCATGCACTTCCTCCCCTCTGAAGCCCATAAAAACCCTGGACTCATCCAAACTCAGGTAGATGATGGGATGACTTGCCTGTGGAGAGACCCCACTGTGAGTCTCCTCCCAGCTGACAGCTATACACTCATTGGGATGACTTGCCTGTGGATAGGAGCTACCCACACCAGGACTCCTCTCAGCAGAGAGCTGTACACTCATCAAGATGAACTGCCCACTCAGGTCTCCTCTCCACTGAGGGATGCATTTATCAGGGCGACTTGCCTGGGAAGAGGAGCTACCCAATTTAGGTCTCCTGAGAGTTGCACTATCACTCAGTAAAATACCTCTTTGCCTTGCTCACCCTCCAGTTGTTCACGTACTTCATTCCTCCTATATGCAGGACAAGAATTCAGGACCCAAATGGCAGGACTGAAAGAGCTGTAACAGAAACAGTGCTGAAACATGCCCTTCATTTGCCATGTTATGAGTGATGAGAAGGAGAGAAAAGAGAAGGAGAGAAGAGCTGTGGCCCTTGGGGAAGCCCAGACTCAGGGGCTTCCTGAGCCAGGGCTGTGATACCTTCTTTGGGGCTCTGGAGTTCCCGGTGTCTCCAAGCTTCCAAGTGCCACCGTATTCCTTGCCTGCAGTGGAAGCCACTTGCCATATGCCTGGTCCAGTGGCAGCAGGAAGCTGGTGCCATTGTAGCACCTGGAGCTGCCTGCCTCACCACAGCTGTGTGCCTGGCTGCACACAGTGACTGCACCCACGCTTGCTTGCTCATGTATTTCTCACCACTCCACGCCTGGCTCTCCCCTGGCAGGTGTGGGATCCAGGTTAGTAGTGAAAGCCAAGAGCAGCCTGCCAGACCGAGTGGGTGGAATATGCCTGGCAGTCCCTAAAAAAACTTGGACAAAGGCACAACTAATCGTAGAGGTTTCTGGCTGGTGAAGTGACACCCCATATATTCTGCAACAGAAACATGTTCCCTCCCCAGAAAGATGGCCCTCTATTGGACACACCTTAAAGACTCCAGGAGCTAGCATGCACACAATCACACGGCAGAAGTCTCAGAAAGTAGAGAGAAAGGCTGGGCATCTCCATAGTCTTTGATGTTGCTGCCTGTGAGCAAAGCCTTGTTCTTGCCAGGGCCCTGGTCCTTGGTGTCCTAGGTCAGCAGCCCTGTAAGTCCTCAAACAGCTGAAAGCTGAGCAGAAACTTGGTGATGGCATCTTCGGTCACCCCTAGCTGACCTCATGGTCACCTACAGAGAGCTCAGCAAAAGATGGTAGGGCAGCTGGAAGGTGTGGGCCAGGCAAGTCCAAGCCTTCAGAGCCATCTCCTTCAGGATCTGGCCACTGAAAGGTGGCATGGGTGGTGGTACAGACATGGCCCCAGCGCCAGGCTCTGTGGAGCTACCATGGCTGCAGCACAGGGTGGGCAGGTCAGGGCTGCTCTCCTGTCCATGGTCAGAACCCACAACTCTGTCCTGCCCCAGGGGCCCTGTAGTGCAGCCAACTATGTGAGAGTTGAGATTGCAGTGCTAAAAATAATTGAACTTTGTTCTTGTGGAATTGATGTTTATTGTGTTGTTTGTTTGAAAATAAAATTCAGCCCATTGTGACATTGATTCATCCCATTTTGAAAAGACTAAAGATTCTGCTTTCCCTCTCTGCATTTTGATATGAGTCAGCACCCACAGTGCCTCACTGCTTTGGTCGGCATACCTAGCTGGGCTGTTGGAGAACATTTGCTGCTGCCTGGGCTGACTTTCAATCTCCTCCTTATTCTTTCTCAGTGACTTCCTTAGCCTTGATAACAATACATGTTAATCAATACCAGTCTGGAAATATACAGAATTCCTCTCCCACAACAAACCAGGGTATCAGCTCTGCAAAGCAGATGTGATTTCTCAGTTGGAGCAAAGAAAAGAGCTGTGGAAGAAGGAAGAAAATTTCTTCAAGGCCAGGGTCTAGGTAAGTAGAAGGGCCCAGTGTATCTGTAAAACACGGTGCCTAGTTAGTGTCTGAGTATGTTCTTGGAAATACCAACTAAAGATTTTGTTAAATGAGTTGTATCTAAAACATAGGCAAGGACATTAGGGACAAAGTCTTCACAATTCATGTGTCCTTCTGACATCATCTTTGGCATTAAGGAAAAAATGTTTATGTATTTATTAGAGGTAAGATTATAGCGACTCTTGTCGTGATCCTCCCTTTGGAAGATTTTCCCACTCTTTACCAAAACAACAGCTGTTATTCATTCTACTTTTTTCACATGTTAATCTTGAAAATGTGTTTAATTGGCAACATCCTATAATGTGATTCTACTCTCTGAAGTGTCACTTTGACACACTTGCCTCATCTAAGTGCCATATTTTAGACATACTTCCATGTGTCAGGGCGCTTTTCAATTGTTTCATTCTCTTAATGCCATTTTAACAATTTATTTATTTTTCAATTATTTTTAGGCAGGGAAAGTGCCCTTATATAAAAAAAAATGGCATCCATGCAACAACATATCAGCAGAAAGTTCACATTCACCACTAGGTCAATAATGAATTTCATGAGTGCGAAGCCTGGTTATCCAAATTAAAGACCTGGCAAATGGTGTTAGTAACCGAACACAATAACCAGACTGTAATTAAGTTGGGACTATACTCTTTCCAAGCAAAAGCTGAATCTTTTGAATTTAGTGAAAAAATGTAAATGAGCCTCAACTATCATCTGATATTTTAAAATGGGCCAATTGTATAAGCACTGTGAATGTAGCTAATTTTTCAAATATAAGTGAAGTCTTTAAAATTAATCTGCTAGCTCTGTAGTTGGGTTGCTACAAAAAAGGAATATTTGTGCCCATAGCAGAGTAACATACCATGTGTATGCAAGTAATATTGCAAATATTTGAACTCTGGACTATCATTGAGTGATTAGATTCACATGTAGAGAAATAAATATATGGATCTATGTGGGAAAATTATTAACAGATTGTCATCTCCTTCCCAGAAGCAGAAATCTCAGAGTCAAGGGGATACTTTTGAAATGAATGATTTGGAGATTTCATTGGCAGCTCTGTTGACTCAACACTTGCTAAGTCATATGGGAAAGAAACCCCATGTCAGAAAACAGTGTAAAAAATCAATTAATGACCAGTTATTTCTCAATCAACATAAGGAAACTCACCCTAGAGGTAAATCATGGGAATATCATATATGTGGGATATTATTTAGTAATTGTTTTAGCCTTAGATAACTTGAAGTAGCTCACACTGGAGAAAAACCCTGTGAATGCCACCAATGTGAGAAAGCCTTTAGTCAAAGATCTCGCCCTAGCCAGCCCAAGAAAACTCACACTAGAGAGAAACCTCATGCAAATCTCCAGTGCGTGAAAGCCTTCAGTCCATGTTCTGCCCTTAGAAAGCATGAGAGAGTTTATACTAGTGAGAAACCAGATGAATATCTTCTATGCACAAAAGCCTTCAATCATGCTTCTTCCCTTAGATGACATAAGAGAACCCACACTGTACAGGTATTGATCAACTTACGACCTATGCAACTTATGACCATTCGACTTTACGACCACAATCGCTAGCCACGACTGCTCCACGTCTGCCAGCGCAAACGTTGCCCAGCTGGGCGTATGACAGTGCGGACCAGCTTCTGGCAGCACTACCATCTCCGCGTGCACCACTTCAACTGTTATCCCAGACTCAGTGCAGCAATTTGTGTTTTGTGTCTTCATCAAACCCCTCCCAAGATGTCTACCAAGATGAAATTGTCTTTGTCTACAACTCAGCCTGCCAAGAAGGAAGGAAAGGCCATCGATCTTGACACGAAAATGAAGGTAATTAAGCAGTACGAAGGAGGAAAGAAAGTGAATGTGATCACACGTGATACGAAGTTATCACACTCGGCTGTGTCGATGACTTTGAAAGATAAAGAATTCGTGAAGCTATGAAAGGTTCTGCACCCATGCAATCAACAGTTATAACAAAGCAATGAAGCGGGCCCATCCACGAAATGGAGAAATTGCTATATATTTGGATGGAAGATCAAATTCAAAAACGGCCAATAAAATGTTTCATACATGTTTATATATTTCGATATGTTTTGCAATTGGGAAAATGTTTCCTATGGTATTTTTTACACCTGTATTTTGTATTTTTCTATGCACCTGTATTTTGTAATTTTGTATGTTTTGCAAATATTAAACCAGTTGTACTGGTAATGCAGTGTTTTACTTAAACCTGACGAATGTAAAAATAAGAAACAAAATGGCATAGAGATGATACAAATGGCATAAAATGAACAAAGAAAATTATGATATATAACAATAATGAAAGAAAATTATGATAAAATATGACTTAAAGATTTTTATAACATCATTTCACAGTACTGTACATATAGCCTACTCAACTTTTGACAAAATTATGTTACGACTGGTCTGTCGGAACCAATCGTGGTCGTAAGTCGAGCACTAGCTGTATAGAAAATTATGAATCCTTTCAATAAATAATCCTATTTAAATGTAATGAATGTGGGAGAGATTTCAATCGTACTTACCTGAGAATTCACACAGTGGAGAGTCACTGTATGAAATCAATGTGAAAGATTCTTCAGTCATACTTACTCCTCAGTCAATATGTACATGTTTCTATGAAACATAATATATATGTATGCAATCTCTATGGTGAAATCTTTAGTCAGTGGACTGGCCATAGATGGCATGAGAGAACTCACACAAAAAATGTAATGAGTTGAAATATTTGGCAACAGCACTAACTTTAAACAAACTAGTGGACTGGATCAGGGGAGAACCCTTAGGTCTCTAATCAATATGTGATTTACTTCATATATAATCAAGAAACATGAAAAAGCTCCATGTAGGAGAACCCCTAGATCTGTAATCATTGTGAATAGATATTCTTCCAAGCACCAGACTTGGTGTGTGTAAGAAAACTCCACGAAAGAACCACCTGTGAAGCAGGAAATAAGATCAAGCTTCCTGTGGAATACCACAAGCTTCATACAGAACAAGTTCTTCAGTGAAAAAAATCATGAGAAATTTTTTATTCATATAGCAACACTTGTGGCGTATATGAAGATTCCCACTGCATAAAACACCCTCAGTGTCATGAGTGTAGGAAAGTCTTCAGTGATCACTCATTTCATAGTCAGCATTTAGGTTCTCTGACAGAGGAGATACAAATTCTGAAATCAAAGTGGAGAAAACTTCTACTAGATTACATATTACAAAATTAATTCTGGACAAGGAAATTCTACGATAATCATTTAATACACAATTCAGCAAATAATTTAGAATTTTGAGATAATATCTATTCCTGAAAAAAAGGCATACAATGTCAGAGAGCAAAAGTGATCTTGAATATTGAAAGTAGAATTTTGGAAGAAATTATATTTTTAAGACATAAATACTTACATACATTTAAAAAATAAAACCTGTTGCTGAAAAAGTTGAACATGTTGGTAAAGTTCTAGTTTTTCTTACACAGTTTCCTGCGGGTAACAACAGCAATCTTCAGTCCCACTTGCCAGATTTCTTAAAATGCCATGTCTCTGGTCATGTAGGGTCATTGGGGACAAATTCAAAGATTGGATAGTCTCTGCCTTCAGTGTATCCCTACGCCTTAACTCTTGTAGGAGTTACCTGGGGCC